TCGTGAAATTTTAAGATTCATCTTAGTTCTCTATTTCCTATTTTATATTTGAATTTTCTAAAATACAGATATACTAGTTAATTATTATCATCATTAAATATCAATTCGTTTATGTACCTACGTTTTCAAAACCTAAACGTTTCGATTGGCATGTTTCTTAATAGATTTTCAATTCGTTTTGTAGTAAATCCGGAATGTTGTGGTTAAGTTAATTATTTAGAGAACCTAAATCCATTTCGTTGGGTTACTTTTCATGAGTACTTTAAGTCACAAGACGTCCAAAAGTTGTATAAGTTTTTTGCAACCATAATTCCGTACGTTCATGGCAGGGAATGACTTTATTTTATATTTTGATTATAACTTTCAGGGTTCAGTACCCATAGGGTATAAACGGAACCCTGTTGCTGTTACTCTGTCGTCGGTCTGTCTATCTGTCTGTATGTCTGTCCGTATGTTGCGGGTGTCTATATAGTAACCGGAATGAGTTATAGAACTGAAATTTTGTGTACAATGCTAGCCCAAAGCCGAATACTTAGTTAAAAATTTAATAATATTTATTTTTCATGAAGCATTCGGGAATAGGAGATTTTTTTTACCCCAGCATGTGACACAACATTGTCTTGAGCTCGTTGAGTAGAATATAAATATTTTTTATAATAACAAAGAAATGGAGAGCCGTCCAAAGTAGACATTTTTAGACTATTTTTGTTACGAGGTGTATCTCAAAATCTAAACTAGTTAAGAATTTAAAATTTTAGTATATGATTTCCCATATGCTGTATTTAGGCCCACTTGCAGCAATTTTGTTAAATCTGTATTTAACTAATATTAGATTTAGCCCATACAATAATGTTATATTTACATTGTCGTTTTGACATTTTTATTTGGGTTAAGCCTAGTTTGATGAATCGAGATTTAACAAAATTTCTGTAAGTGGGCCGTTTCATAATGTAGGCGTACTTTGTGTATGTTGTGACGAAAACGAAGACATTATTTTTCCTTTCGTGGTTTGCTGTGAGGTTTATCTTGGTAATGAACTATTTCGTGCACGAGTTTAACTCTAACTTGGTCGTTTTCATTATACTACGCTTCTTAGTGCCAAAGATTTTAGCATCAGTATCAATATAATCTTATATCTTCTGGAAGTGTCCATCAAGGCCTTCATTTTTCTTTAATGGTTTTTTCACCTTAAAGTTGGCCCTTTGCCTCCCCCATTCCAGTTAAAAAATCCCAAATAAATACGTAAACTCTGAAGACGTTAGGTACTCTTTTTTGCCCTATCTAAAAGAGACTTCTTAGTTTTAAAGGTGTACTAGTACATACTGGATCTCCTTCTATCCCTTTTTTATTATCATATATGTATTTTACGCCTTGTTCAAATACTAAAAAAATCTTATTCATACTTTGAATGAATTAATGATTAAATTCTTTATTGCACTATAGGACAATTTTACAGTGTTTACGACAAGAACGTGACCGGCATATTTGAAAAGAATAATAATAATATAAATATAAGGTTGAATAATGATTTTCTACAATGCTTTATAAAAACACAAAGAAACTAACGGGAACACACTAGTTTCTTGCTAAAAATCACTGTGAATCTTCTTTCTGAAAAAGTAATGAAAAAAGGCTACATTGGCCTTACGTGGCCATACGAAAAACAAATGTCATGATTGGGAGATGAAATCTTTTTGCAACGTCGTAGCTTATTTTATACAGCCGGTTACTCAGTTCGAGCTTGAACTACGGCTGTTAATAAAGTGGTAATCAAAATTATTTATTCAGTTTAGACTGTTACAAGCACTCATGAATGTCTAGAAGCTACGCTACGTATCACATGGAACACTCAGTAAAGGTGCATACTTGGGAGTGCTTCTCAAAAAAGGTTTCGAATATTTGCACTTGTTTATAGCGGTACTTTGCATGCTTAAAAGATAAAAAAAAAACAAGGAAAAGCGTTATTACCATCAGCTCATAATTATGATGATTCCATGGCAAAATGATTTCTGAATTCAGCATGAGGATCATGATACTAAAAACAATACAATACACAATACTTTATTGAAAACACCACAACGCAGAACAGAAATGAAGGAAATTCCAATTGCAAAAAAAAGGAGTGCTGCAATGGGCGGTGTTATCGCTAAAAGCGATTTCTTCCAGACAACCTTTCACACCTTTTAAACACCACAGTCGATTCTGTACGCCTTCGAAACCGAAAACGATATTGATATGTTGGTTTGGTCCTCATCGTCCCGTGATACCAATCCAATTGAAAATATTTGGGCGCAGATTTAGTTTAAACTAATGGCAAAAATGTAGTAATCGTTGCTAACTTTACTCATAAATTAGAGTCCTTATCTTCTCCTCTACAGCTTAGCTAAAAAACTTGCGGTGAGTATGCCGCGAAGACGTCAAGTGATTATAGACAACAATGGAGATAGGGTGCTTTATTAATATAATATTAAAGCATCAAATATCAATAAAAAACCTAATTCATTACAATTTATCGTTTTAAATGTCTAAGGTTTTCATTTATATATGCTGGTCACATCTTTTTATACATAATGTATATAGGAATGCACAACAACACAAAAGGCGGCCTTTATTGCTAAGGTAGCGTTTTCTACCAGGCAACAATTAGCTGAACGAAATTACTATCAAAGAGGAAAAAATCTGCCGAGACTGCCTCTGTAAGGACCAGGGTTCGTTATTTTGTTGATGGAGTATTTTTGTTTTTTTTAAGTGTCCGAATTCAAAAAATAGAGAACTTGAATACTGGCTTTTTGATTATATAAAAGATTACGGTAGTACCCACTTTCATAAGAAGCTTATGTAAATAAAAAGATGAATATGCAGAAAAGACAAAAAGTTATAAAAAAAATATGTTTGTATGCGTTACCCAAAGTTTGTTACAAATTTACAAATGTTACAAAATTGAAAGATAATTAAGCTAATCACGACCAATTCTGTAAAATATGTAGGATGGTATAGATAATTTTTGTAATTTTACTTGGTTATTGATACATTCTTTTATTATTTTGACTATGATCATATTTATAATTTTAATTCTTGGTGACGTGTATTTTTTTACTTGTATTATTTCGTTGCCTGATTTTGATAGCCTTTGTCATTCAACAGAATATGCTGGAAATTTATGATATAACACCTTTATATTTTTGCAAATAAATTATTATTATAAGTTCCAACCTATGTTTTGTACCTTTTGTAAGTCAACATTTAACAACCTTTATATTTTTGCAAATAAAATATTATTATTAAAAGTTCTAACCTTTTTTTTGTCCCATTTATAAGTTAACATTAAACAACCTGAAATTGCATAAATAAAAAAGTACTTATGCTTTAACAAATGCCTCGATAGGATTCGAACTTAAGACTATAGCAAAAACATGGAACTTGTATCGGTCGAGAAGTTAATTAACTATTATATTGATTGTTTGTCATTACTTATAGCATTTTCATATCTTTAGCAGTACCTATTAGTGAATAGGTAATTATAAGTCTTTTTACTCAAGCTTTCTCGTTTCGGTGCTTAGAAGCTTCATTCTGCTAAGTTTAAGTAAGAGTAATTATATTAACAACGTTGATAGTTTGTGTATTTGTACATTGTTACTCAATCACGCAAAAACGTCTGAACAGATTTTGATGAAATTTGCCACAAATATAGTTCATTATGTGGATTGAGACATAGGATACTTTTTATTCCGAAAAAAAGATATAGGTTTCTGAAGGATTCTCAAAAAACTAAAGATAACTTGGACGTATTCACGAGCGGCGGCTAGTTATAGGAATAAATTCTTTTTTTTTTAATCGTTTCGTAAATAAATAAAAAAAAATGTGTTAGATAACGTTATTTTTCTAGGTTATTAGCGCCGCGTATGGTAATTTTTCCGGTCGCATCGGAACTCTGGGCGCACGCCTGCGTATGGTTGCAATGTGGAATGGACCAATAGTTAGATGGAGTGTAGAGAGGCTGTGTGTGCCCGAATATCGAGGCCACACCACGGGATGTTGGAGGTTTTACGCTGCCGCATTCACCTTGATGCTTGATTGAAAATAATTTAACAAAAACGAGCGAGCCTTACAGTAGTCGTGTATGATGTGTAACATTTGAAACCTCACCTTATATTAGTAAAAAAAAGAAATAAAACCCACATCAAAAGGAATAAGCCATTTGAACATTATGTTTTAAAATTAAATCAAATAGCGCGCGCTTTCGTGACTTCCTGTTACACACTTCCGTCGCATTTCACAAAATCACTTCCACAAATTGCAGGAAAGCGAGAGGAAGCGAAGAAGATGTCAATAAACTCAAAAACTAATCAATAAACTCTGTTCAATGAAAGGAGCTAATGGAGAACTTTTTTTCACACAATCGCTTACAAAAGACGAAGAAGGAAAACTATGTCACTCGAGATATGCAGACCGGTCAGTGACAGATAACCTTACTTTTAATCGGCACTAGCTTAAATCCGTATTTTTGTATGTTTATAGTATTTCAAAAGTAGCGTTATGTTAAGTCAAAGATAAAGATTCAGATCTGCACCTCAAGCACGAACTTTGACAGATCCGTAATCGCATCGCCATCGTCAAAGTTTCTATAGAAACTAAACGGCGCCCCTACCGGACGTAAGAATAAACTGGCTCCTTCCATAGAAAATTTATATCCAATACGACTACGGATCTGACAGTTTATCCTTAGGGTACTGGGGTCCTAAATAGGGAAACTATCGGCGTGCTTTACCTTTTTTCTTTTCATCAGTCCACTGTTCTAATTTTTGTTACAATGCATAGATAACATCTGTAGGTACTTTATTCCGTGCATTCGTCTTAGTTTAACTATAAGTTGAACAATTAAGTGTAGATAATGTCAAGCCGGGTTTAATTACCTGTGTAGAGTGCAAAAGGCTCGGCTTATTAACTTGTTTACTCTTACAACTATCAAGACTATTAGTCCGCCGTACAGAGACGTAAAGGTGAGCCGTGCGCGGGCGCAGTGACGTGTCTCTTCTCACTTCTCTTCCTTCACTTCAGTTTACCGCGGACTACGACACGCCGCGGACGTATGTCGCCTCGTTAAATCTCGAGATTAACACAAACTAGATTATTGGTGTAATTAATATTGAACACAGTGTGTTATAACATAGTAATGCAATACGATCCGTCAACTTCGGAATAACGGAAACTTTTTCTTAGGAAAAGGAAAAGTTAACGGTACGCAAGGACAGTGTTTGAAAGTTTAGTTCGCAGGTTTGAGGGGAAGTGATATTTTTTCGGTTTCGAATTTTGTTCGACTGCTAAAGTACCTACCTATCTACTACGGGATTTTTGCGTGACAAAACGTTGTAAAAGGTAAGTGATCGTTTGTTGTTAATGGGTTTTTATTATGGGCTGAAACAGTTTATAGTTCGTGATAGTTGCACTAATTGTGCGGCCACCAAGGCTTCTCGTGTCGTGATGCTTAGAATTGCGAGTGATTGGAGATTAAAAATGCGGAAACCTTATAAGCTCTGTGAAGAAATGAACTTTAATAACGTACAAAATTAGAAACTATTTCATAATTTAATTCTTTTGCTTGTTGATGGTAGGTATGTGTTGTGTAAGGTTACACGTTTGAGGCATAAGTATTGAGGTTTTGTATTACCATCTGGGAAATGAGAAACCAACCGCATTCTTCAAATAGGCAATATAATAATTTGTGTTACTAATTAATTGGTTTTGGGTTTTTATTGTAAAAAATGTAATATTATTTATTAAGGTACCCGAGTCACAAAAATGCATCAGAAAGAGTGACAACGATATTATAGACTACATATTCGGCATCTTTGGGATTACCAGTTTGATTCCTGGCTGGGTCAATTTAAGAAAACTATCTTTTTTCATATTAAGTTGGTTCCAGATGATTGTAACTGTTTTTCAGAATACTTGCAAGTGATCATAGCAACGTGTTTGTAATTGTCTCATATAAAGTTAATATATATATCTTAAAATAGCAAAGTCATAATTACAACCTGTGACTTTTGTCATTAGTCGGGTTCAATCTATAACTCGAAAAACAATAGATGTAAATAGTAATTTGGCAGTTGTTTATGAGTTTCCAAACTTTCTGAAACCTGAATGAACTTTATCAAATTACCTACCAGGTGCCGTAAATTCATATTCTGAAATGATGACAACTTTTAAATAACTTATTACTTAACTGAAAATTGTACGCTTTTGCAATGATCTAATTCTGTAGAATTAATCACTTGAATCTTTAAAGAGCTTTCTATGTGATTTTTATGCCACCAAACATTCTTTTAATTTTTAAAAGACAATTTTAAAAAATTAAAAAACAAAACAATGCTGCAAGTCAGAAACTGGCTGTATATTTATATTATTATAAGCAAAACAACAAGGAAAAACAATAGGAATGAATGAGATACCTACTTCTGATGAAAAAGCTATTAAATTAAACTAAGAATGAAATTGTACATTTTTGGAACATAATCAATACTGAAAAGAATCCAATATTTCTTCAAAAGCAACGAATTGTAAAATTTTCGTATGGAACAATTAAAAAATGCATACCTTATTGTCCTTGAGAGTTTATTGAACCCTTGCTCTGGAGGAGCACGCAGTGTTGTAAATATTATTGGAATAAATTGACGTGGGTTACTTACAATTTCGTCATAGTTTGTTTAAAATTATCATATTATTGCTAATTAAAGTAGGTACTTAGCTAGTATGTTTATCTTTTATTAAAATCCAAAATTTTCCTCAAATCACAGGCTCCAATTGTGATACAAGGTTTTAAAGATCTTGAAGTAGGTATAGAATTTGAATATGAAATCCATTGCTTTGAAATTGTCTCTAAAAAGCTTAGTTAGTCTTTACATTCTGTGCAGCGCGCCTCGTCACATGGTGTAACTTGTTTATTTTATTTATAAGTAAACGGGCTTATGGCATTCAAATATATAATAAGGGTTAGGTTTAGGTCACATCTTTAGATTTCATCATTGAACAGTATGCATACGTAACAAACACATGAAAATGACATCAAAATACACGCACTTATCGAAAGTAACACTTACTGATTAAATTTGGTGTATAATAAAGCTTAGTTTTTGAACGGGCATGATTATTTATTTACTTTATATAAAACAAATAAGTAGGTATAGAAAGCGGTACGGGTTGGAAGGTGCAAAAAGATATATCGCTATACACGCTCTCGTGTACCACTTCAAAGTGTTTTTTTAAATAAAACCTCAAAAATTGTTGTATGTGAAAACATAAGAAATAAATTAACTTGACCTTTTGGAAAAGTCTTAAGAACCAGAACGAATATTAAATTCGTGAACTCCATTTCTGGACTATGACTTTGAAGACCGTATTGCGAAAAATGTTCACTGTAAGTGTGAGCAAAGCATTTGTGCATAATTTTATAAACAATAAAAAGAATCGTGAGATAAAGTTGCGCAGTGCGGCTTAAGCCTTAGTAAGACCTTAGTATCGGATGCACGCGCTACATAATTTATTGTCACAAGCGTGTATGGGTACCTAACGGTGTTTGTTTCTCATTAGGTTTGTGATATTTTCAAGAGTTTCTACAAGTCTTATAAGACTAAAGTGAAAGAGTTAGGATACATAATAATTTCTTTAAAGTGTTTGGCAGATAACTGTGATCCTCTTGATGATCAGTCAGTGAAAGAGGAATCTGTCTACGGAGACAGCTGATGCAGTCTACAATTGAATTGCAGCCATATTTATTTATCCTTTATTTAAACCATAGGCCATCTAGGCATTCTCTACCAGTCAACCAATAAGAGTGTTGGAGACAAATGATACGTCGGTAAACAATATTGCTAAAGAACAAAATAAACTTAAAACGATAAAAAGAAACTAAAAAAGAAATGCTAATACACATAAAATAAACATACATATATAATAATAAATAAATTTATATGTATATATATATACATATATATATACTAGCTGACCCAGCGAACTTCGTACCGCCCTAAAAAAATAGGGGTTGTCCAGCGGACAAAATTGTGAATCTAAACCATTCTCAGATCCCCTTGAACACACACAAAAAATTTCATCAAAATCGGTCCAGTCGTTTAAGAGAAGTTCAGTGACATACACACTCACAGAAGAATTATATATATAAAGATATTGTCAAATACATATATAAAATACAATAAATATAATATATAGATGCAAATTATACAAAGAAAATTACGTAGTCAGGGAGTGTTCACTTATTAGTTTTTTGACTCCATTTAATGTTGAGTACTACGAATGCTTAGTATAGAATGAGAGCATTCCACATGCGTATAGCAGAAATAATGAAAGATTTGGATCCAAAGCCAAAATGATGAATGGGAATTTGTAGAGATAGGTTTTTGCACGAGCGAAGGTCACGTTGATTGTCTACCTTATGGATCGTATCGTATCGTATATTGCTGCTGAGCAAACGATCCAATTTGACGAGAAGATTTTGATTGATGTAAGAATAGCAGATTTCAGTGTAATCAAGAAGAGGGAGAATAAGAGCCTGGACGAGCGCAACTTTAGTACAGGAATGGGAGAAAATGTTTTAGCCGATATAGTGCCCGAAACGTGTTGATCACCCTTCGACTAACTTTGTTGCCTTAATCTTCCCAGCTGAGAGTACTATCAATAAGTAGACCTTGATTCTTAACTCTGGGTAGATATTGAATTAAATTACCGTTGTACACTACTGGACTCAAGGTACCTAAATGAAGAGAAGCCACTTGACGGGAAATACCTTAAGTAATAGCCTGGCATTTAGACAGGTTTACAAAGATAACGTAACACCAATTGGAAATTCTTTGTAGATCTTGATTTATGCATATGATAGCGGTCTCTAAATCTTACTTATCCGCTTAAAGGTAGAGTTGGAGATCGTTAGCATACAGACGGTAAGAGGATTGCATCAAAGTAGTAAGGAAATTAATAAAAAGTGAGGAAAGAAGAGGAGAAAGAATACCGCCCTGTGGAACACCAGCAGTTTTATCGCATCAGCTAGAATTAGTCTGATCAATTCGAACAGCCTGCAGGCGTACACAAAGATGAGAGCCAAGTCCTAGCCAAAGAAGAGACTCCCATGAGAAATATGGATTGCAATGAGAGTGTCATAGTTGACCATGTTGAAGACGTTTGAAAAATCGATCAGAATCATTACTGTCAACCGAGATTTCTCCATGCCGCTACGAACGTCATTCAGGACAGTAAAAAGTATAAGGGCAATATTTGTATAGCATCTTATGGCGAAAAAAAAAAGAAGAGAGTTGATTACGGACAGTAGATTTCAAGATCTTAAAAAGAAAAGGTAAGATTTATATGGGCCGATAGTAGCTTAGAGAAAATAGTGATTTGTTTTTTTTATGAATGGAGATAGTAAGAGAATGTCGCCCGATGGACCGAAAGGTATTTGAAGAAAGAAAAAAATGTAAAATAAAATGATTTGATGATGATAATGATACAATCAAGTACAAAGATAATCATAGTCCTCCCAGTGTCATCACAACCAAATGCTTTGGATTTAATGGAATTCATAATCTTACGAACCTCTTATATTACCATATTTACTTATGGAAACCAAAAACTACAGAATTATTTCGTTTTTCATTTAAGATGGCAGATATTTAGCTCGTAGATACCATCAGAAAGTAGAATCCGCAGTGCTCTATCTTTAAAAATGTTGTTCGACAAATATATAGATAAAATACTTTTTTTTTTCAAATAAGTAAACAGTTTTAAAGTATTTGGTGAATACACGGGATCTCTTTTTGGATAAGTTATCACATTTTTCCTATCAGTTAAAAGCATTGACTTAGAAATGTATTATCTGAATGTAAAAAAGGTGGTATGGACTCAGATACTCTTGTCCAGTGATTTGACTGATAACGGCAAACCGAAAAATATTTGTGTCATAAAAAACATACTATCTGAAGCCAAAATTGCAGAGAAGTGTCCTCTACAGATGACTTATATTTATATCCTCAAGTCATTCAGAAATTTTGTAATATTGGTGATGACGGGGTTAAATAAACGAAATCGTATTTATTAGTTAAATCATTCAAAAATAACAGACTCATATATTTTCTTTTGTCAATCAACCAAAAAAAATTACAAACACCGCCTCAAAGATTGGGAGTGAGGGCTTGTGACGTCAGTTGTTAGTGAAAATTGCACCAACATGTGACGTCATGCGACATTTTAAATCAACATATCTCTGTCATGTTTTGACTATGTGAAAAAGAAAAAAATCCTTTTGGGACATTTTTGGAATTGCTACCCGATAGGTTAAAAAAAATAGTATCATCCCTATTTGGTGAATTTTA